TATCTTTTAACAAGATGAGAATTATTATAAGGAGGCATTTTGAAGGCCAAATTTTTCCCTGTCCTGATCTTGTAAAAGTATAGTAAAAAAGCACTTTTAAACCAGTCACTATAATAGACCATTCTCTAGGTACTAAAGAAGGCAAGGGATTTTCAGGCTATAAAGAATCCATTGACTGGATCACCGGATCACCTTATTAATAGCTCTTAGATCCATTGCCATTCTCTATTTTCCAGATTTCTTTTTAATGATATGTATAGGAGAATTCCAAGGACTGGTTTGTCAGTTAACCGTTTTAAAGGCAGGGTTGATGGTATCCTTGAAAGACCACCAGCTGCTGTGCCCTGTTATGTTCAATCTGAATGGTTTGTGACTGTTCTTGACAATACCTTTTAATATTTCTCTCAAAAGCATTCTTTATTTTATGGTTTGTTTCTGAGATTGGAGGAATGTTAATCTGTGTTTTCAACTGTTGAAACAAATCACATCCCCATAAATTCATTGCTATCTTAGCCACATGTGGCTTTAATTTTCCTACCAGTCCTTCTATCCCTGTACCTTTGACCGACCTTGCACTTTGTTTTACCTGACACAAAGTTCCAATCCCTAGAAGCTGAATATTTTGCTCCTGAAGAGGCCAATCTGGATACCAAGATGTTGGTAAAATTACTAAGTAAAACTTGATTGATCAGAAAAGTGGCAGAGAAGCAACTAGGGACTCTTTCTCTCTCTCTCTCTCTTCCTCTCTCTCTCTCTCTCTCTCTCTCTCTCTCTCTCTCTCTCTCTCCCACTCCCTACTACTTCCTGTGTCTCTGTATATATCCTGGGTCCTCCAAAACCTCTATGCTATAATTTTGGTCAGTCAGTAGCTAGCTAGCTCCTCCCTCAATTCAAAATAAACTTTACTGGTAGTCTCGGGAGTCTCCAAGGGTGACCAAAATATCCCACAAGAGAGTGTACTCAAAATTGGGGTCTTTTTGAAGCTTCAAAGTCCATCCCCCAGTGACATACTTCCTTCATCAAAGTCACACCTCCTAAATTCTCCCCAAACAGCCACTAATTGGGGACCAAGGTGAAACATTGTTGGAGTTTCTGTCCTGCCCAGTTCCCCACAGCCCACAAGCCCCTAAGTAAACTCACAGAGATCTCTATAAGTTATAAAGCTGATTGGCCCATTAGGTCAGGCTACTTATTAGCTAACTCTCACATCTTGATTAACCCATTTTTTCTGATCTATGTTAGCCATGTGGCTCAGTACCTTTTTCAGTGGGGGCTGATCACATACTGCTGCTTCAGTGGTTTGGACATGAGTGGGAGGAATCAGCTTCCTTCTCCCCAGAATTCTCCTGCTCTCCTTGCATCATATCCACTTCCTGTCTGGTTTTCCCGCCTACACCTCTTGCCTGGCCAATCAGCATTTATTTAAAACATGATTGACAGGATACAGACAATTCTCCCACAGCACCAAGGATGCTTGAACACCTGGGACTTAAAGGGGACATCTCCCTCAAACCACCACAGCATGTGAGAAGTTGGAGAAGCAGCTGAGTACGTTCTAAGAGCACTTTCTGCACAATCATGAGGACCAGAATTTGGATCCTAGCTCCACATAAACAGCTGGGCATAGCCCGGCCGCATGCTTGTAATCCTAGCCAGATGCAGGTTCAGTGACAGATCCCAGCTCAGGGTGAGTAGACAGTGGTAGAGCCAAACACCTGACACCCAACATTTTCACCCCATCTCTTCAAGTACCCTCATAAGCACACACAGCTGTACATACACACAGATACACGTGTACCTCTCACTCTTAATTTTAAAGATAGATCAGTGATGCTGGGGAGTTGAGAACATTCATTGCTCTTATAGAGGACCTGAGTCCACTTCCCAGCATCTTCACTCATCAGCTCACAACTACCTGTAACTCCATTCCCGTGGGTATCTGGTGCCCTCTTCTGGCCCTCTTGGGCACTTGCACTCACATGCACAAACACACAGATGCCCACAAATATTCAGAATTAAAATTTAGATAAATCTAGGATCTGGAAAGATGTCTTAGCAGTTAAGAGCACTGGCTACTCTTGCAGAAGACTGGGATTCAATTCCCAGCATCTATATGGTAGCTCACAGCTCTATAAGTCTAGGTACAACTATAACTATAGTCTATAACTCCATGGGAGCCAATGCCTCCTTCTGTACTCTGTGGACTCCCAATATAAAAGTGGTGCACAGACATACATGCAGACAAAACAATCAAACACATGAAAGATTTTAAAAGGCTGCATGTAGTTCCGTTCACGTCTCTCAGCACCGGGCAGCCTGCAGAACAACCCACATACAACCTCCCACCATCCACAGTAGATCCGCGTAGAGTAGTAGGCAAAAAAAAAAAAAGATTTAAAAAGATTAAATAAAATAAATCTTGAAACAAAACTGTCTCAGAAACTTTAGTTTTCACTTTAATCCTTCTAATTTAATGTTTGACCATGGTAATGAGTTGTCTCAACAATACATATTTATTGTGAATATATATGTACATGTATGAATATCCAACATATTACAATACTATTTTTGTATGCCTTCTGAATACCTTCATTATTTAATGTTTTCAGATACTGAGGGAGAAAAATATACACACAAAAAAAAATATGTAATGAAACTGTGTACATTGTATATGGGCATAAAAACAAACTCTGTTCAGTGGAAGGTCAAGCCATAAAATCACACAGCAATTATGTTACATCTTGTTCAAAACTACTTTTAAAAAAATGTATTTGTGTTAGGCGGTGGTGGAACACGCCTCTAATCCCAGCACTTGGGAGGCAGAGGCAGGTGAATCTCTGTGAGTTTGAGGTCAGCCTGGTCTACAAGAGCTAGTTCCAGGACAGTCTCCAAAGCTACAGAGAAACACTGTCTTTTTGAAAAACAAATTAAAAAAAAAAAAGTATTTGTGCCAGGCAGTGGTGGCACATGCCTTTAATCCCAGCACTCAGGAGGCAGAAGTAGATGGATCTCTGCGAGTTTGAGACTAGCTTGGTCTTCACAGCCAAGGCAATACAGAGAAACCCTGTTTCAAAAAACTAATGTGTATACATATATAATATTTATTATATATGTTGCATTTAAGAAAAAAAGAATTGAACACTAACTTATTAAAAGTGGCTATTCTAGAAGCAGAGTAGGAAATAAAATCTTTCATATTTTCATCCTTTTTCTTTATACTTTCGTATTATCTCAACTTATTTTTATATGTCCATACTATTTTAAGTAGATAAAAAATAGTAGAAATAATTTAAAGGATATTATACAACTCTCGCCTCTTTTTTTTTAAAGATTTTCTGACTCAGTCATCCCAGACTATTTGATAGCAAACAAAGAATGGAGCAAAGTTGTTGTGTGAATAAATCGATCGGTGTTTACTGGAGCTTTTGTCACAGAAGACTATCTGTATTGAAATACATTCTATGTCGTTCCCTATAGAGAACCAAAATCAGCTTCAGTTGCATATACGAGAATGATAGGGGGAAGTCTTCATCTACCTGTCTGAGTAGGTATCTCACTTTGTAGCTCATGCTACCTGGAACGTGTGATCCTCCTGCCTCAGCATCCCAAGTGCCTGACATCCCAAGTGCCTGCTTTACAGATGTGGGCCACCATGCCGGATGGATGGGAAAGGATTCTTTGCAACAGGAATGTTCTTGTGACTTTGCCTTCACCTGGTGAAAACAGCCTGGTGCCTGCAGGCTAGGCCACTGGAGCAGGCTGTGTTCTCACTTACCCTTGCCTCCGGCACAGCTTCTTCATTCTCAGCACCTGTCACCTGCCTGTGCACTCAAGCCCTGTAATCATTTAGGGCTTGTTTAGGCCTCACTTTTCCCAGACTGCCCCACCCCCATGAATATATCCACACCCATTGCATTCCATGTTATTTCTACTTGTATGCAAAGTCTGCTTGTATTACAGGGGTGTGTGTGTGTGTGTGTGTGTGTGTGTGTGTGTGTGTGTGTGTAAATCTGCAGAGATTAGAATACAGTTTAATTCATTCTGATTCTGGTATAGCCTAGTTTATTACCCACATATCAAACATTAAAGAGATACTATTTGAGATTAATTAAATGCATTTTTACAGCATTTCTTGTCAACCCACCCATCCAACTCAGACATCTTTTTTTGTTAAATGAGTTCTTACTTGTTCTTTAACAAATGCATATGTATGCAATGTATCTTGATCATAGCAACTTTCATTCCCCACCACCACCCACATACATACTTTTTGTTCCTGTGCTGGGGATTAAACACAGGGGCCTGAAACATACTAGGCAAGTGGTCACTGTTCTTCTACATTACTAGACCTTTAATTCCTTTTTATTTTGAGATAAGGCCTTGATAACTTTGACTCAGTAGTTAAGACTTCAGTTCCCAGCACCCATGGGGTTACTCACATCATCACTCCAATTCCAGGGGATCTGATATCCTCTTCTGGCCTCCATGGGTACAAGGCTTGCAGTGTGTGTGTGTGTGTGTGTGTGTGTGTGTGTGTGTGTGTGTGTATTATAACATTATATATATATGCACGCACACACACATACATGAAGACAAAACTCTTACACATAAAACAAATAAATAAATCTTTTAAACCCCTCACTCTGTGGGACTGGAGAGATGGCTCAGTGGTTAAAAACACTTTTTTACTCTGGCAGAGGACCCTCAGTTCCCAGCATGCACATGAGACTCCAGTTCCAAGGGATCTAGCATCCTCTTCTGGCTTCTGTGAGCACCCATACACATATGGCACACACATACATAAGAATAAAATAAAACAAATTTAAAAGGAAAAAAATAAAAATAAATAAAAACACCTCACTTCGTAGCCCAGGCAGGCCTGCCTGGAAATTTCTCGCCTCCAGCCTCGCATGGAGAAGCGAGGATGCCAGGCTCCTGCAGAGACTGCCTGCATTCCACTCCCCGCTTCTGTCCTTCTGCTTTTCTTATCTAAAGCGCCTAAGTTTAAGACGTGACTCAGACAGGCCCTTCCTGTGAAGTCAGATAGCAGTCTATCTGATCCTGAGTTCCCTCTACCGTGGGGAAAGAAAGTGCTCAGCAACTTGCCCGATGTACTTCATGACCTCATTCAGTCAAGTGTGGGGACCAGACAGGAGTTGTTGGTGACCAGCAGATCAGCACTGGAGCCCTCTGATTCCATCTCCGTGTGTTTGGTAAGAAAACCTAGATGACCCTGATACCTTGGGCTTTGTTCAGCCTGCTATACTACTTATGTACAGTGGTTCCAAGTTCATTATCTTCTGTTTCTTTCTTGTCCTAAGATTTTTATTTTTAGGGAGTCTTAACCGTGTAGTCTTGGTGATCCGGAACTCACTACACAGACTAGACTAGACTTAAACTCACGGAGATGTAGATCCTATCTCTGCCTCCTGAGTGCTGGGATTAAAGATGAGCACCATCATACCCAACTCTTGCCCTAGGTTTTATTTCTCCTGTCTTATCCCTATGTCTACTTTCTTTTTCTAAATCCTATTCCTTCTGTTTATCTTTGCTTTTAATATTTTCATTCTGAAAATAATGGATATTTATGTCATTCGCTTCCTTTCATAAAATGACTGTTTCTTCTGGTCTCTGACTCTGTTCCCATTAGTCTTGCTTCTCCAACCACTGTCCACAGGTCCACACATCACGTATATGGATATGCATATGGATATACCTGTATGAGGATTCCCGTTCTCTCTCTCTGCTAAATTTCTCTTCAGTTCTTTGAGCCCTTCCCTGGTGCTGCTGGTCCTATCATCCCATAATTAGTATTTGATTTGGGAATCTGCTTTTCTTTACTCATCATAGGTAAATTTCAGGTTCAGGATTTTAGAGATCTTTTTAATTACTACTGGCTAGCTCAATACTAAAGTCTTAAAAAATAACTAATAATCTTACATATAGAAGGTGTTTTTGTTTCGGGAGGGTTTTGTGTAAATATGAACTGTGATCTTGCAGTGATGTCTTTTTAAGGCCTGACTTGCATACACTTTCAAAGCAGATAACTTGTGATATTTAAACGATAGCTCACAGATCTAGGACCTTGCTCAGATCGGGACCTTGCTCTTTTCACGTCTGTTCTTTCAGTTGCACCGCCCACTTTCTTATCAAGACCGCAGTTTCTCAGCGATGTGATCCTTGCGGTAAAAAGAACATTGGCCTGTAGTTATTGGATGGAGCGAGCACCTGTGACTCTTTCCTGCTGTGACCCTGTGAGGGCCACACAGTCCCCTGAGTTTCAGCATCAAAAACTGCAAAGTGAAGAGGCATGATTTCTGTGTGCTCGTTTGTCCCTGGCAATCTTTGACTGCTTTCCTCTCGGTATCTTATGAATCTGTGCATTAACGTTGGGAGGGGACAATAGATCAGCTCTCTTGCCGTTCACATTAGGGACTAGTGGGATTTGGGGATCTGAGTAGAAAAAGACAGATAGGAAGATGGGAATCATTTCTCCTTTTTGCATTTTGTTGACTCATTATTTTAACTTCTGCTTATCGGGTAAGACTTTGTGGCAAACTTTGTCAAGCTCAGCAGAATATTTCCAAATATCTGAACTTCCGCTTTTAAAAAAAAAAGTAAAGTGCTATTACATCCAGTAATAATTGGGAACTTAGAAACAAAACAGAAATAAAAAGTGATAATATAGGAATTAAGAAAGCTGTCTAGGTAAAAATGAAAAGGCTCAGAACTGAAATTTGAAATGCAGTTGAAAGCGAACAAGTTGAAACCTGGAAAGCAAGCAATCTCCTGGTCATGGTGGTACATGCCTTGGGAGTCCAACGCCTGGTAGGTTAAAGCAGTTCTCCAGCTGGTGGCCAGCCTGGGCTATACAGTCAGGCGAACAGACATTTATAAATAGGTCTTATCAAGGTCATCACACAGTTTAGGGTCACGATTACAGCACAAGATAAAATATGCCACCTCATAGAGCATATCAGAAAAGATTCAACCACACACTCATGCTAGCAAGGAAGAGATAGAAGAATCTTCAAGAGATTATAAGAGAATATTTCAGATAAAACGCATAGAGGTTAGCCCTGAGGAGTAAGTATTTTAACGGTTAAAAATTCAGTGTAGAGAAAGGAAAAAAACCATACAAGGGATATAATTCTAAACAGAAATCATTAGCCTCCATTTAGGAAAATGAAATGGCATTGACTGGGAGGGCGTCACAGACCAGGAGTAGAGACAGCTAAGGACTGCATTGCGGAAGATAGAAAAATTGGTTTGAGTTTGAGTTCTCCATGCAATCTTAGCAGAGCAATAGGAACAGAAAACAAAATAAACACAAACCATGACGAAGACAGTTAAGTTTTGTGTTTTGGGGGGTTTTGTTTTTTGGGTTTTTTTGTTTGTTTGTTTGTTTTTTATTATTTTGTTTTGAGGCAGGGTTACTCTGTGGATTTGGAGCCTGTCCTGGAACTAGCTCTTGTAGACCAGGCTGGCCTCGAACTCACAGAAATCTGTCTGCCTCAGCCTCCTGAGTGCTGGGATTAAACGCGTGCACTACTACACCTGGCAAAAGTTGTTTAATGAGTAGAGAAATCTGGTTTTTATTAAATGAAAACATTCTGGAAATTAGTCGCAAAGAAACTAAGGTACTGCTGAATTGCATTATTTGAAGTAGTCAATTAAGATGGCAAATTTTATACTAAATGTGTATTTCATCAACATTGGTTTTTAAATATGTATGATATAATTGAATTTTATTAAATTTTGTTTTAAAAAAATTATTTTAAAGATTTATTTATGATGTATACAGTGTTCTGTCTACATGTATGCCTTGATTTTAAAATTTATATATGCACGAAAAGACAGATATAAGGAAGCTTGAGTATAAGCTAGCTGGAGTATGCTAAAACTGAGCCCCCAAGGTTGTTCTCTGACCTCTACGCATGTATGCATGCACGTGTGTGTGTGCGTGTGTGTGTGTGTGTGTGTGTACTAAATAAATGAAATGACAGTATGCAAAGTTTTTTAGGTTTATTTATTATGTATATAGTGTTCTGGTGCATGTATGCCTGCAGGCCAGAAAAGAGCACCAGGTATCATTATAGATGGTTGTGAGCCACCATGTGGTTGCTGGGAATTGAAGTCATGATCTTTGGAAAAGCAGGCAGTGCTCTTAATCTCTGAGCCATCTCTCCAGTCCCCAATATGCAGAGTTTAATTTTCATATGCTGTTGTCAGTGTGGGGAAGGTTTCTGAAGTTCTTTGATGACTTCAGATTACAGAGAGTCCACCTAGAAGTTTTTGTTTATTTGCTCATTTAAACATCTGTTCAGTTTTAGTAGTGGACACTGATGTAGCACAAATAATAAAAATATAGAGACAGATGTTGGGGTTCAACCTGAAGATCAGAGAAGCAAAGCAGCCAAGCCACTAGAGAGCCCTTACCTCTATGAAATCTTCAGACTGAAAGAGAGCTAGTTCCTGTCTCATCCTACCTTATATTCCTCTCTGGTGCTGAGATTAAAGGCATGCACCACCACTGCTCAGTTTCTATGGCTGCCTAGTATGACTATCAGGATTAAAGGTGTGTGCCACCACTGCCTGGCTATATGGCTGCCTAGTGTGGCTGCTGGTATTAAAAGTGTGTGTCACCACTGCCTGGCTGTATGGCTGACTAGTGTGGCTATTTTGTATTCTGATCTTCAGGCAAGTTTTATTTATTAAAATACAAATGAAATATCACTATGCACTGAGTGAAGACAGAAGCTGTGTGTCGGGAACCAGTCTCAACAAAATCACCTCTTGCCAGGGTAGGGGTTTGGGATTTAGTAATATTAGTAAAGAATATGAAGACACGTGTGAAAATAATAAAACAGAAAAACCATAGAATAGTACCAGGAGGGAAGGAGGGAGTTCCAGTGAATACTGAAAATCCTCGAGTCTAATTTTCCATACACATTTGTACCCCAATCACACAGGGGGAAGAAGACAAGGGCCTGCTTTAACATGATATAAACTAGAACCATCACTTGCTTCAATACTTTGAGATATCAAGTCATTATCATTCTGTTGTTTAGGCAGTGAACCCATCCTAGACCAAGTATCCTGAAGGCAGCCGCTCCCACGGTCAAACCTCCTGTTTCAAAAGAAGGAGCAGTGTGCTTGAATTTCCTGACCATTGGTCAGCGTGGAGTGGATCTAGCTGTATGGGCCATCTTATGTCAAAAGAACCAAGTAACCACATCCTGACTCAGGATGTACCCTGATTGCTGTTAACCATTGAGCAACTTCAAACTCTCTAACCTTCAGACAAGGTGGAAATAGGCTCACATTTTTGGGCCTCCACAGCTGTGGAAATGAGGAACAGAACATTATCACAACAGAGCTTGGTAGCGATTCCTGTCACAGCAGAACTCAGATGTCAGAGGCAGGAGGACCATGGGTTCCAGTCAGTTTACAACACGGTCAGTTGGGGAAGTCAGTCAGTTTGGGCAACATGGAGTCCAAGTGCCAGGAAGTCAAGGGGTGAGGCTGCAGCTCAGGAGCGGGCGCTGCCTGCCCAGGGGTGAGGCTGCAGCTCAGGAGCAGGCGCTGCCTGCCCAGGGGTGAGGCTGCAGCTCAGGAGCGCGCGCTACCCAGAGTGTGCAGGCCCTAGGCTTGAACTGCAGCAGTGGGATCAAAACAACAAAGAACAAAGGGGGGGATTTTTAGCTGATGTGAACCTTCCAAATGAAGTTATCTTTTTGATATGCATTTAAATCAATCTCATAGATTTTAAATTGCCTATCAGAGAATGCTGTTGAGTGCCTATTTTGGTGAAGGAATGCAAACCAGACTACTGAGAGCCTCTGCCATCGAGGGGGCGTGTATCACCACATAAGGCCTCCTAAGAATATTTATTTTAACAAAGTTACTATAAGCTTTAACATTTTCTTCATCTTTTTTTTGCAGATTTAGCAATGGAGTCTTTCTCTGCTGACACTAATTCAACTGACCCACACGTACCGCCTCCGTTTAAAGCCCAAGAGATCCTCTCCATGGTCATTCTCTGCCTCACTTGTCTACTAGGGCTGCCAGGCAACGGGCTGGTGCTGTGGGTGGCTGGCCTAAAGATGAAGCGGACCGTGAACACGGTTTGGTTTCTCCATCTCACGCTGGCCGATTTCCTCTGCTGCCTCTCCTTGCCCTTCTCCCTGGCTAACCTGATTCTCCGAGGCTACTGGCCCTATGGCTTGTTCCTATGCAAACTTATCCCATCCATCATCATCCTCAACATGGTTGCCAGTGTCTTCCTGCTTACGGCCATTAGCCTGGACCGCTGTCTGATGGTACACAAGCCAATCTGGTGTCAGAATCATCGAAATGTGAGAACAGCCTTCACCGTCTGTGGATGCGTTTGGGCGGTGGCCTTTGTGATGTGTGTACCAGTATTTATATACCGCGATCTACTCACTATAGACAATCACACCATGTGTGTCTATAATTTTGATTCCCACGAGAATTTTGATTATTGGGACTACATGTATAATATAGATCTACCAGAAAGCAATACTGACTACGCCACTGCTCAGCGAATAGGACAAATGGATGACAGATCAGAGCCTTCGTCTTTCCAAAAAAGTGATGACCGTCATACAGCTGTCACTGACCTCCAGCCACAAATATTCCAAAGATCTTCTGAAGATCCATTCCCTCTAGATTCAGCAAGACTGCCTAGTGAACAAGGCCACACCAGTGCAAACCAGCCCCGTGCGCTCACACCCACCGTCCCCAGTGGGCTTCCTGTGGAAGATCACAGAACCAACACACACAACGCCAGTGATTTTCTCTCTGCTCTTACAGGGCTTTCCACTACTGCTTCTAGCAGCGACGTACACCACCCTGAGCAGTCACAGGATTTCCAGGATGATCATTTCACTCAGTTCACGCACAGCAATCACAAGCCAACACCTCTGGTGGCAATAACCGTCACAAGGCTGGTGGTGGGCTTTCTGGTGCCCCTTTTCATCATGGTAGCTTGTTACAGCTTCATTGTCTTTCGAATGCGAAAATCCAACTTCACCAAGTCTCGGAGCAAAACCTTTCGGGTGGCCCTCGTGGTGGTGACTGTCTTTTTTGTCTGCTGGACTCCATACCATATTGTTGGAGTTCTATTGCTGATTGCTGACCCAGAAGCTCCTTTGATGGAAGCCGCGTTATCCTGGGACCACATTGCCATCGCTTTAGCATCTGCCAATAGTTGCTTCAACCCTTTCCTTTATGCCCTTTTGGGGAAGGACTTTAGGAAGAAAGCAAAACAGTCCATAAAGGGCGTTCTGGAGGCGGCCTTTAGTGAAGAGCTCACACACTCTACCAGCTGTACCCAGGACAAAGCCTCTTCAAGAAGAAACAATTTGAGTACAGATGTGTGAAGATGTGGCGTGGGAACCTAAGCAGGTGTTCCCAGGTGAACACTGCTAAGGGATGACACGGTGAGCAGGACACTTTGGACAGTCTGGTGGCTCTCAGAGAGAGGGCTCTGATTATTGACATCAGTATCACTTGGAAACTTATTAAAGATGCAAATTTTCAAGCCACATCCCAGACTTGTTGACTCAGAATCTCTGGTCCATGGGGACCAGTGTTTTAACAGGCCCTCTTGCTTCTGATTAATGTTAAGTTTTATAATCATTTGGCATGGTCTACTCCTATCCCTAAGTTGTGTGAGACAATAACTTAATAATCCGTTTTCCGTATTAATCTTTTTTTTAGCATCATCTAAATCATCTTAGTTTGCATGAAAGGCTGCTTTTATTGTCCTGAGTGAAAGATAGTCCTTTATTGCATATCTGGTGATGTTGGTGGTGGTTTTAGTGGGGGGAAAATAAGACACAAAAAAGAAAAAGCCTACAAAAGCAAAGAGTGATGAGTTAAGAGACTGGAACAGAATAGAAAAGCACCACGTCTGCGACTCGAAGCATCCTCGGATAATTCCAGGTGCCCATGAGTACCCTAAAGGAGCATAGGTACGTGTGAACACTTTCCTATTGTGCAGTGCTCTGGAAGCTGTGGTTTGGAGCGCTCTCTTCCCTACGCATCCCACTTGTTCATAGAATCATCTTTCTCTTTTTGTTTCTTTGTTTTGTTTATCAAGACAAACTGTGTGACCCTGGCTGTCCTGGGACTATGGAGACCAGGCTGGCCTCGAACTCAGAGACCTGCCTGCTTCTGCTTCCCTGAGTGCTGAGATTAAAGGCGATGTCCCATTGCTTAAGTTCCTGAAGTCCCTTTACGTTTTCCATACAGGGTCTTGCCATCTCCTGCTGGGGATGGGGAATGCAGCACCCTGCCTGGCCCCCTTCTTAGTCTGCCACATTAGACTTAGTGCCTCACATAGAATAAAACAGTCTCCTAAAGATGCTTTTCTCCTCCTTCCAAACCCAAGTCTAACGGAAGGAGGAATGCACGAAAGGTGGAACTGGCATTCTTCAACTCGCCCCCAGGTCCCTGCACTCTGACGGCAACACCACAGAAAGGTTTGAAACACGAGTCTAGGGACCTCGTGTGCCAAACGTGCCAGGCACACTCCCTGTGGAATTCCTGGACCATGGTATTATAAATATATGCAGCCAACTTTAAAGGAACTAGTGAATGATGGAATGTAGGAGGCCTCTTTCTCCAATGCCCAGTAATACCTCTCTCCCTCTTATCTCAAGAGAGCATCTTTGCAAGAATGGTAGCTATTTATCCTGACATTTACCGTGATGTGCCTAAGTCATGCACTTACACCGCAGATTTTTGTAGATAAGATAAAAATGGTTGTTTCCATATTTTCATCCAACATCCCAGTGTTGATTAGTGAGTATTATACTTTAGTTTGTTCATGACCATCTGTTTTTCTTTTACTTTTATTGTTTGGGTTTGTTTCCTTTTGAGCCAAGGTCTCTCTGTGTAGCCCAGGCTAGCCCCAGACTCACAGGTCTCTTGTTACACACACATCCCCCCACAGCTGACTACACAATTTTCTTTTCAATGCATTTCAATAGCACCACTTTTCTTGTCCTTTCCGTTTTTATATTAACACACATTAACCCTCCATAGAAGATTCATGCGACTGACCCATATGACCCATACATGCACACAGCATTCACGCTTCCAGCCCAGACTCTACCTCACTGTTATTCCACTTTCTAGCTGACTTGATTTTTTTAGACAAGGTCTCAAGAATCCCAGCTGGCCTCAAAATTGCTATGCAACTCAAGAGAATTTTGAGCTTCCAATCTTCTTGCCTCCACCTCCACATGCAGGATGAAAGGCATGGACCACTATAACGTCTTATATGGTGCTGCGAATCAAAACCAGGGCTTCATGCATGATAATTAAGCATCCTACCAACTGAGGTGTTCCCCCAGCCTGCTCAGGTTGACATTTTGACTCTCCTATATGAGACTAGGTGGTACTTCTGTGTACACTTCATCTTCTTCCCATAATGTCCTCCAGTTCCATCCTTTGTGCTAAAAATAACAGGATTTTGCTTATCTTTACAGCGGAATGACATTGTATGTATGTAACATATTGCACCATCCACTCAACTGGTAACAGACACCAGGTTCTACATCTTACCTATTATACATAGCACTACACTAAACCTTTAAATTAACTTTAAAAAATTAGCAACTTCCACCATCTTCTATTCCTTTTTTTTTAAATGTACATTGGTGTTTTGCCTGCATGAGGGTGTCGGGTACCCTGAAACTGGAGTTACAGACAGTTGTGAGCTGCTGTGTGGGGACTGGGAGTTGAGCCTGGGTCCTCTGGAAGAGCAGCCAGTGCTCTTAACCGCTGAGCCATCTCTCCAGCCCCTGGTATTTCTATTCTTATGTGTATACTCTCACATGTTAAATCACTGAAAACTCAAGCTTGTTTGCACAAATAGGCTGACCCAAGATGGATGCGTTAACCTAGAGGCAGGAAACTGAACGTTATGTTAGTCTTGTAAAAACATTTGTCCGGTTGTCAAGGGAAGATTCTTAGGCTACAACTGTAAGTTTATATATTCCACAGGAATAAACACTTCTATCCACAAGGCTCTGGGGCTCACAGATCCTGCCCATTCACAGATCCTGCCCATAAAAATACACATTTTATCCTATGTGTATGAGCGTTTTGCCTGCATGTGTGTCTGGGTACCACCTGCAGGCCTGGTGCCCATGGAGGTTACAACAGGTGTCTGGTCCCTTAGAGCTAGAGTTACAGGCGGCTGTGAAGCATCATGTGGGTGCCGGGAACCAAATCCTGGCCCTCTGCAAGAGCAGAGAGTGCTCATAACAACTGAACCATTCCACTAGGCCCCACCTGCAGGCTCTTGGTGTGACACTTGACCTGGACTACAATGGCTAACTAAGCAGCAGACGGCTGTGACAGCAAGGCCAGGCTTCCGGTCCCCTAAGACTCTGAGTGTCCGGGTGTCAGGTCCTGGGTTACTGTAAAGGGCAGAGGGTGAATAATCTTGGCATAATGTGAAGACTGGAAGTATAGTAATTCTGGCAATAACTGACTTCTCCCCAGAGATCTGTTTACTTTCGGGTTGTACTCTGAACAAAGTTCTACAATTAGATACCCTCATTTCTGATTTTACAACTCTGATGAGAATCTTTACCTATTTGATACTCTCATCCCTAGAAAGTCTGAAACAAGGAGCCAACCTCTCCCTTATAGTATCCTGAATCTTTTTAAAAATTATGTAATACACAGAAAAAATAATAGACAACATATTTTGATCATATTCTCTCTTCCCCCAACTCCTTCAAGATCCCCCCACCTCCCTACCCACCCAACTTCATGTTCTTTCTCTCCAAAAAAAAAAAAAGGAAAAACAACAAAAGACAAAAATCAAAAAAGACACAGACTGAAAAAGGAAAATCATTAAGACAAAAAAAACACCACCAGGAGGTGGCGCACACCTTTAATGCCAGCACTTGGGAGGCAGAGACAGGTGTATCTTGGAGACTGAGGCCAGTCTGGTCTACAGAGTGAATTCCAGGATGGCCAGGGCTACACAGAGAAACCTTGTCATGGAGACACAAAACCAACAAACAACAACGAAAAAGCAGACAAAGAAACATGAAGTCTGTTCTGTGTTGGCCAGCTGCTCCTGGACACGGGGACGGCCCTGGAGTGGAGTTTATGGACCGAGTGGCGCCCACTAGGGAAAAGTGATTTGTTCTTTCTCAGCAGGTATCAGCTGCAAATGGTTGGTTAGGGGGACTCTGCGTCCACTCTTTAAGCTAACGTGCCAACAAGGTGGGTCTCCTCTACCCACCAACCTCCAACAAGACTTCGCTACACTTAATAGCATTTTAAAGGCCAACTATGAAATCCATGTCTCATTCTTTCTTGCCCACCACTCCTGAAGACAGTCACGGTCAGATAAGCCACCTGGTGGCAAGGATGGACGAGGGTAGCAGGGTACCAGCAGGAGCCAAGTCCTCTCCCAGCCCTCCTCTCCCACCCTGGCAAAAAGAAGTTAGAGAGAACAACTACCAATAAGATAAAAACTGGAAACATTCCTTTTTGTTTTTTTATTAAGAAAGCATGCAAAAAAAAAATCAAGTTGTGAGCCTATACACCATCTTCCCAGCCTGCACCAATGCAAAGCATTATGGGTGGTATAAAGAACTCACCAAACCAGAAACATAGGAGTTGAGGAGAGGAAGCCTAGGATTGGCGGATCAATACCAAATGATCTCTCCTTCTGTCCTTCTCCTCTCCTTTTCCCTTAGTTCCTCTTACAGGCAGTGACTCCTACGATTTTGCACATCACCCAAGACAACAACAATGACAAAACTTCACGTCCAGCAACACTGGACCAACAAAATAAAGTAGTTTTCTTTCCGCTTCATGGAGGGGAGGGAAACTGAGGCTCAAAGGGAATCAAGTTTGTCCTGTGCCAATTTTGCAAGCCTGAGCCTGGTGGTGGAGAGCTGGAAGCCCAGGAGGCCTCAAGCAATCTCCAGGTCCCAGCCCCATACTTGAGCTGCCCTGGTTGCTCACTGGGGCTCTTCACAAGACTGGTTCTCAGGACATGGAGGAGCCAGGGGCACTAAGGAGTGTGATTCAGCCTGCCCTTCCCAACCTCGTAGAGATCTGATCAGGAAAGTTTTAGAAAAGAGGAGTGTTGCTCTGCAGAGAAAAGAGGTTGGGGGAAAACCAAAGGGAAGGAATAAGGAGATGCCCAACTGGGTACCGGGCAAAAGCATGTGCCACCACTAGAGAAATACTCCCTTCCTCAGTGGGAAACATGACATCATAGTTCAACCCTACCAAACGTTCCCCAGTATAATCTCCCATTGTGCTGGAGGTCACTGGCTGTTTCTTATTCCCCTTCTTTCCTTAACGAAGGCTTCAGAGATAAAGTGCTCTTCAGTGAACTGCCCTAGCTCGCCCCTCACCTCGCCTACCGGACTGCGACAATCTTATACATGAACCCCTTCTAAAGAAAGGAAAGGGGTTGGCGAAGGGGAAATCAGAACAAAAAGCACACTATCTGGAAATCATGGATAAACAAAAGAAAATGAACAAAAACCAGAAACCACAAAGAGATCGGCCTTGTCTTAGTCTATGCATTTTGTCCATTTCAGAAAAATGTAAGCAAACTTGGTCTTCCCTCTCTTAAACCAAATCCAATAAACACACTCACTGAGAACTCTGAGCAGTTAAGTCCTGGCCACTTCCTGTTAATGGAGATTACTCATCCTATACCTAGAAGTGACCTGCCCTCACTAGATCCTGTCTCTATATTAATTTACCTCTTATAATTTTCACTACCCGTCAAAAGCAAAAGCTTCAACCCCACTGACAGGGATTTCAGGAGAAGCACGCCCTGTGTTGTTAAACAGACAGCACATTCCCGACCTGCGTCTATGCCAACTCCCTTTCTTCTCCCCTCCCTCCTATCAGTAACACTACGGATACGGGTCTGTCAAGACAGGTGGGAAAGAGATTTCCGGAGCACGTCCAGGGCATGAGAAGAAACCCAGAATGAGAATGGCTTCCTTTTGTCATTTGAGGCTCTCAGAAAATGGGAGACGAAAATAAAACAGGTGGATTATTTGGACAAACAGCTATAGGAAGACAAAATAGTATTTGCTGAAGGGGAAAAGATGGAAGATAATTTATATATGCAGTAATAGCCACAGCTAATTATCAGATTTTCCAAAGTCAAATGCTTTAAATTGAAAGTGTTTCCAAGAGGTTGAACCTATAATGAACAGTGGTCCTCGTGCCCTCCCATATAAGCTAACCTGAGAGCGTGATCTAGGAGAAAGTCAGGGATACATAGACAAGGCAGGAGGAAGCCAGGGATGTCCTGACATGGCAGGGAGAAGCCAGGGATGCCTGATATGGCTGGACGAACCAGGGATGCCTGACAAGACGGAAAGAAACCATGGATGCCTTAACATGGCAGGAGGAAACCAGAGATCCCTTGACACAGCAGGAAGAAGCCAGGGATGCCCTGACACGGCAGGAAGAAGCCAGGGATGCCCTGACATGGCAGGAGGAAGCCAGGGATGCCCTGACATGGCAGTGCCACCTAACCTCATGCTGATTTACAGCCCATCACTTCTCCACAGCTTTCTACTCGACTCCGCTGTCCAAGCCTACCCTTCACGGAGAATGAGGACTACCAGAAGAAGAAAAGGCTGGGTACATAAAGGAAGAGTTCAGAGGACACAATTAGCACCATTGAATAAAACCTGCAAAGTCATGGCTGCCAAACAGTGTCTTAGACCCCCCCTCCACTTGCTGAGGCCTCTTCAGGCCAGCCTGAAACAGACAGGAATAGAACATAGTCTAGAGATGAAAGTTGGAAGTAGCATTGCATTTCTCAGAGAGAAAGGTGAACAAGAATCTGAAACCTTTCTCCACGGCTACCATGGCCTCATCTTGCAGCTTGAAGATTCCAAACAGGAAAGAGGAGGACACAGCCCACGGTGAGGGGCAGTAGATTGGGCAGCATATAACCAATAATAATAATAATATAATTAGAATAATAATAAAAGAACTAGGAGGGAACAGAGAATGAGGAAGGAAATGGGATTATCTTCGGCAGCATCTTGCGGTGGCTTCTCTGACAGAGAGAATGGAAAGAAGCTATATATCTATATACAGGTTTGGGGAGGATGGACGGGGACTGTTCTTCCCCCATGGCGAGAATTCACCACCAGGCCGCGGGCTGATGTCCACTCTGATTCATTAAGTGATCAAGTCCCAGTCGAAGTCATCGGCAATCTCCTCATTGGCACCAGGAGGTGGGACAGGTGGCCGAGGAACCATGTGGTGTGCTGTCAAGGAGAGAGACAGGCCATAAAGGAAACTGGATGAGCAGCAAGTCCATCGCCTAGATGGGGCGTGTCCCACCCCAATGACACCGTGAAGAAACAGAGCCGCCCCAGACTGATCAGCTCATGGTCCTCTCTGTTACAGACTATTAACTCAGCGACAGCTCAGGTGACACAACAGAGCACAAGTCATACACTCTGCATTTTTGAAGACTATCTGACACCTTCTTAAGTTATTAATAAGGTGGTATTATATGAAACAGCAGCATAGAAAGTCCTATTTGTAGTGCGTGGACAAAGAAACAGGCGTCACCCTAAAAACTGAACTAGTGCCCACATGAGATGGCAACAGGGATGTGCCTACAATAACGTAAACACGAGCCATCTGCAGTGGTTCCATGTCTCCCTGTACTCTACCCGCCCCACCAAAGACAGTTCAATCCCACGCTGAGAAAGCAGCTCAGTGGTAGACTAGCTCAGCATACAAGAGACCCTAAGCTTAACCCTAACACTGCCAAAAGCAAATATATATATAAATGGTAGCTAGATTCCTGATCCCTGATGGTCAGGTGACATGAAAACAGACGTGGGTAAAATGTTTATATAAAGCATGCATTCCATTTGCCTGCCTCCCATCCTGACTCCACAACCGGATATGAACACCCTTCAGAGCTATCTCTCACTTACATTTATAATTTTATTTCCTTTCAGTAATGCCATTACAAGGCCATCTTTTTAATTTTTAACAATCATTCTATTGAATGTGTGTTCTGCCTGCATGTATGTCTGTGTATCGCATTCATGCAGCGCCAACAGAAGCCAGAAGAGAGTATCAGATCCCCAGGAACTGGAGTTACAGACTACTGTAAGCTATATAAACCATGCGGATGCTGGGAATCAAACCCAGGTCCTCTGGAAGAAAAAGCTAGTGCTCTTGACCACTAAGCCATCTCTCTTGCCACATAAGGCAATTTAAAAGCAGTCCCAAGTTCTGTAGCTCAGAAGTAAAGCCTGTCTAGTAAGTGTGAGGTGTAGCTCCACTCCCAGAAGTATAAATAGAGCAAATTTAATTAAATAAAACAGTCTTTCTTCTTAGATGGGCAGTGGTGGTGTACCACCTTTAATCCCAGCACTTGGGAGGCAGAGGCAGGCAGATCTCTGTAAGTTCAAGGCCAGCCTGGTCTACAGAGTGAGTTCCAAGACAGGCTCCAAAGCTACAGAGAAACCCTGTCTTGGGGGAAAAAAAAAAAACAAAAAACAAAACTACACCTCCCTACTCCCTAAAGGGTGGCTCATCTCATCCTTCAGCCTTGGGAACCACGCCCCTCACCCATCCTAGCAGGTGTAGCCAGAACAGGGAGAGGGCTCAGGAGGAAAGAGAAACAACACTGAGAGAGATGAGCATGCTTGTCTGTCAATGAAACACTCCCCAGCTCTTACCTGGGCGATTGTATCCTGTTGTGTCCTGGGTGGGGATTGGGTACATTGGTGCTGGGCCAGGGTAGAGATGGGAGGCTTGCGGATGCCCATAAGAGTTCACTACCAAAGCAAAACAAGAGTTATTTGACTAGGGGCTTATTGTAGTCAACAAAGCAGGAAGAAAAACACATTCCCAGCTGGGTGATTTAATGTCTTTTAATCCCTGCACTTGGGAGGCAGAGGCAGGTGGGTCTTTATGAGTTCGGGGCCAGCCTGATCTGCAAGAGCTAAGCTAGGACTGTTACACTGAGAAACCCTGTCTTAAAAACAAAAAACAAACAAACAAAAAAAACACATTCCCTTGTCCCATCAGCCTCTGTCTCTCTTCCTGCCTTGGTTCATGAATCCTGCAAGCAGTAAGCATTCCAGAAGCTACCAGTCCTCAGTTCTTAGGGATGGATCCTATAAGTGTGAAATATCAAAGACCTGAGAATAACCAGAAACATGATCATCAGATCTCTTTTCACGGGCTTGAACCCCGTGTGCGTCAGGTGAAGATTATTCCTGGAACAATCTGGAATAAGAACTCTTTGCCAATTTTCCTCCTTTTCTAAAAAGTAATTTTGATCTCCAAAACCACGGTATGAAAAGGAACCAGGTCTGCTGCTTCTGCAGTTGTTTGAACCTCCTGCCGGACTTCACTGATCAACAGATGTTCCGGCAATAAACCAGTCCCAGGGCTCAGCCTGGTCTGCCTATCCAACTGGTTCCTCCTTTCTCTTCCCTTCACCCTTCATTTCCACTTCACAGTCCACTTCTTTGGCAACTTTGCATAATACCTTGGTTCATGGATGGCTCCGGTTTGCCGCTGGTAAGAGCACAGGAGTCAGCGATGCGGGCAGGGGCAGGTGGTCGGTGGGAGCCCCCTTGCGGGGGCATGTGACCAGTCTGGGTGAGGAAGTGGTTGAGCGAGTCACACAGGTTGGCGATGTGATGCTGGTCGAGGGTCCAGTTCTTCTGCTCTGCCTGCCGTAGACTCTCCATCAGCTCTGCAAACGAGAGAGAACACCAGCCATGCCAACCCTGAGGCGCTACCAAAGCCCCCACCACACCATCCCCGGTGCAGTTTCCTCCCATCTTGTTACCACCAACACTGTGTACTAACAATAATGACTTAATACCTTTTCCTTTTTTGTGTGTGTCAGTATATATTGAAATGCAATATGTCAACAAGTATCATTAAATGTGGCAGTTTTTAATTAGAATTTTTTTCTCTAGACTGCATTAGCCTTATTCTGTACTCACAATTTTAGAATAAAAAAAGACTAGAAATAATCCTACTCATTTCAGTCTACCTAAGGATGCTTCTTGCAAAATTTGAAACTATTTTTTTTCTCCAAGGGGAATCCCAAAGTGACCATCCAGAGGCCATGATTTACATCTTTTTACAGTTTCACCTTTCAACTTTCCATTCTATTTGTTCCTTGCCAAATTCTTATTTTAATTTGCATCTCATTGATGAATAAAAATATTCAAAGTAGGGCTGGAGAGATGGCTCAATAATTTAGAACACTGACCACTCTTCCAGAGGACCCAGGTTCAATTCCCAGCATCCACATGGCAGCTAACAGCTATCTGTAACTCCAAGACTTGACCCCCTTACACAGACATACATGCAGACAAAACACCAATGTACATAAAATAAGAATAAATAAATCATTTTAAAAATGTTTGGAACTGGAGAGATGGCTCAGAGGTTAAGAGCTACTCTTAACCTGACTACTCTTCCAGAGAACCTGAGTTCAATTCCCAGCAACCATATGGTGGCTCATATCTATAATGAGATCTGGTGCCCTCTTCTGGTGTGTAGGAGTACATGCAGACAGAACACTGTATTCATACTTAACAAATCTTTTAAAAAATTTCCAAGTGACTTGATGAATTCACTATTATTTCTCTGTCAGAAAGCAAAACTACAAAACGGCGGTCTCTGACTCCCAGGAGCCTCTCCTCCTCCCCAAGGCAAAGATGACGAGCACAAAGCATTGTGGTATTAGAACAATGGCGAACATCTGAGTCGACCTGAAAAGACTTGTGTCTGTCTTGTATAACATGCAGAAGTGATGAAATTCTCAGTCCCACTCCCAACTGGGCATCACTTGGGTCCTGGTACATCCCTCTTCCCACTCCAGAAGTGGTCCGTAAAGTGCTAACCTGAGAACTGGGACTGCTCAATGCTGGACCAGTTGAGCCGGTTCACCATTTTGAAGCTTTCCTTTAAGGAGTCGATATTGGAGCACCAGTCTGGAGGGAAGGCTATGGAGAGAAAGGCGGGTAGTGAGCTAGGGTGGGAGAGAGCAGTCAGCATGTGCAAGTCTCTCACTGCTACCCGCCCAGCTTAACAGCCGCGTGACCTAGAGAGCTGCAGCCACTCCCTCACTGGGGATTCGGGAATGGTAGTGGCCTGTCCTTTCAGCACCGCCAGTTCACAGGCAAATATGCAAAACAATGCTAATTCATCTATGTCTGCGAACGGAAACAGTGAGATCCCCCCTCCCCCCTCAATCCCCCACAGTATAGAGCTTTATGGAGCAACTTCCATTGGCTGAGATGAGAAGAGAGTAAGAGACTGAACCTAAAAGACCAACTGCTAGGTTTTCCACCCATGGCTCCTCCACGCCAGCAGGACAGTTCACTCACCCTCCTCCCAGCTTTCTCTGTCCCCTCCGTGCTCACCAAAGCCAGTGCTGTTGATGGGCGCCTGGCTCTGTGCTTGCTGCTGCGGTGGCTGCTGGGCAGGGTGGGAGTGGGAATGGTGCTGATGAGGGTGGTAGCCTCCATGTTGTAGTGGCGGGGGATGCATGGCCATCACAGAGGGGGGGCCATAGCCTTCAGCTCCGGCTTGTTTTCCCCCTGGAGTAGTACAACCATCAGGGTTTGGGGTGTGCAGTGGAGGGGCACCCCCTACAGTTGAGGGGCCCTGAGCAGGTGCTTGTGGCTGCTGTGGCTGTGACTGTTGGGGTGGCGGCTGCTGCTGCTGTTGCTGCTGCTGCTGAGGTGGTTGCTGGTACATGTAGTAGTTGTTAGAAGGCGGCATGTCTCCCAGGAGTGAGGAAAATCCTGCCGGGGAGGAGGAAACAGGAAGTGATTTGAGCTAGACAGTTTCATTAAATAGCATCTTCTCTCAGGATGAGAACTCGGGCAGAAGAGTTGAAAGGGCAAGAGCATCATAATCTGTGCCCATGAGGACCCTGTGCCCCTCCTAGAAGGCAACAGACCGGAAAATCAGTTAGGTTACGGGACTGGTGACCACAGAAATGTTAATAAGAATTTTTAAAAACTTCATTGGTGACCTTTAATGCTACTTTTAGGGGACTTAGGTATAGGGCTGGGGTCACTTTCAAAGGAAATCACATGGCAGATAAAATTAAAGAAATAAACTGCAAGCTTGGCTGCTCCGCCCGATTGCTCTGCAGTCCTCTGCTGCTCTGCTTTCTTGCATTCACGATCAGGAAATGCAGCTTGGGTGGGAAGCAGCATCTGGACTGATTAATTTCTCCAGCCAACAGGGCAAGGAAGCTCTAACCTGGAGGAGTGTCCAGCCTGCAGCCCCCAGGAAGCGCTAACCTGGAGGAGTGTCCAGCCTGCAGCCCCCAGGAAGCGCTAACCTGGAGGAGTGTCCAGCCTGCAGCCCCCAGGAGGAGCTAACCTGGAGGAGTGTCCAGCCTGCAGCCCCCAGGAGGAGCTAACCTGGAGGAGTGTCCAGCCTGCAGCCCCCAGGCCGGAGGCAGCTCAGGACAGAGATGAAAACAGCAGCACGTAGCCCCAAACTCTCGGCCACTCAACCAGCTCTCAAAATCATTAAGTTCCTTAAACATTAGCAGGTATTTTTCTTAAATTGTGTATCCTGGGTGGGCGGTGGCGGAGCAAGTCTTTAATCCCAGCACCTGGGAGGCTTAAGCAGGAGGAGCTCTGTGAGTTCAAGGCCAGCCTGGTCTACAGAGACCCTGCTGAGACGAGACCCTGCTGAGACGGAGAAAGGAGAGAAGGGAACAGGGAAGGAAGATGGCAAAGGAGGCCTGGAAGGAGGGAGGAATGGAGAGGAGAGGAAATTCACGACACATCAGCAGGTTCTGAAAGGGGCTCAACCCAAGTTCACATTTTCTCTCTGCTGGGATAACAGACCTCAGACGGAAGAGTTAATGTGATCGAGGCCCTTGTGCCCTCATCATTATGTCTAGCCCATGCTGCCTACAATGGACGACCCAATATACAGGAAGACCTGACGCGTACCTTGAACCCCCAGCTCTACCAATACATCTTCTTTTTTAAGAACATATGAACTGGGGCTGGAGGGATGACTCAGTTGGGTGATGTGCTTGCTGTGCACTTGTGAGATGCAGTGAGACCCCCAACACCTATGTAATGCTGGGTGGGTGTACAGACACCTGCAATCCCAGTACTCAGTGGGAGAGAGAGGAGGGTCCCAGAGGAGGTGACTAGCCCTGGGGTCACCTGATGTTGACCTCAGACCTCATGTAAAAGCATGCACATTTTACACATTCACACAGACACACAAATAGACAGACACATACGCATTCGAACATTCAAATGCAAAAACATACACATGCAAAAACTTGTGCATGAACGTGTAATTATGCGTGTCTGTGTGTGTGTGGTTGCTTTTTTGGTCAACTTTACATAAGTTAGGGTCATTTGAAAAGAAGGAATATCAATAGAGGAAATGCCTCCATCGGACTGGGTCATTTTCTTAATTGATGATTGAAGTGGGAGGGCCCTGACCACTGTGGGTAGAGCCATCCCTGGGCAAGGGGTTAAGAACGCAGGCTGGGGGGCTGGAGAGATGGCTCAGAGGTTAAGAGCACTGCCTGCTCTTCCAAAGGTCCTGAGTTCAATTCCCAGCAATCACATGGTGGCTCACAACCATCTGTAACGAGGTCTGGTGCCCTCTTCTGGCCTGCAAGCACACACAGACAGAATATTGTCTACATAATAAATATTTAAAAAAAAAAAAAGAACGCAGGCTGAAGCTGGGCATGGCCGTGCACACCTTTAATCCCAGCACTCAAGAGATGGAGGCAGGCAGACCTCTTCGAATTTCTGGCCAGCCTGATCTACATAGTTAGTTCTAAGACAGCCAGGGCTACATAAAGAAACCCTGTCTCAAAAAGCAAAGGAAAGACAGTAGGCTGAGCAAGCCACGGGAAGTCAGTCAGTAAGCGGCACTGCCCACGGCCTCGGCTTCAGTCCCTGCCTGCCTCTCCTCTCGAGGAATCTTCCCGTCATGGCCTCTAGCACAGCAACAGAAAGCAAACCAGAATGCTGGACAGATAAAACATAGCAGAGCGCCGAGCCACACCATCCCAGGAGGCCACCCAATAAGGACTTTAAGTAGTTCTCACTCAACAATTGTGGAAATTTGCAAATGGGCAAGATATCAGCTGCTGTTGAGAAATGACTAGGTATTCATCGTCCTGGGAATGGTAACGGTGTGGTGGAACACTAAAGGAGAGGTCCTCACTGCTGAGCGATGCATACAGAAACGGAATTTACAGGGAATGATATGGTGTCTGGGAAATTCACTCAGCTATTTCCACTTCAAAACAAGCTCTGTGGCAAATAAAATAAGCTTAACAAAATAAAGTTAAGTGACGGAAACCAGGGGTTTGTTATTTATCCACTCTACTCTGGTATCTGTTTGAAACATTTTAAAATAAAAAATAACAAATAAAAAACACACTAGCTTTAATCCTGGCACTCAGGAGGCAGAGGCAGAGGTGGAGGGATCTCCCTGAGTTCAAGGCCAGGCTAGTCTACAGAATGAGGTTCAGAACAAAAACCTTCATAGTGGGGCCCTGTCTCAAAGGAAATAACAATAATACTAAAGCGCTAGGGGCTGGAGGTGAGGTTCAGTTGGCTGCCCCAGTCATAGCTCAGTGATTGTATGGAGTCCTGGTTCCCATCCTAGCACTTAAACCAGACAAGTAACAGAACACACCTGTAATCACAGCACTCAGGAGAGAGAAGGCAAAGTCATCCTTCGCTACACTGTCTCAAACTCAAGGCCAGCCTGGGGTATCTGCCATTATGTCTCAATCTCACTTACTAACTAGAAAGAAAAGCAAGTTATTTACTTTAATAAAGGGGAAGGATTCTTTGGGCAAGGATACTACTACTGCCCCCTAGTGGTCATACTCTGAATGACTGGCTCACAGCCCATTGCTATCCCAGAACTGCCTTCGGATGATTGTCTAGTTCATTTTCTGAAGTTAATAACCCAATCAGCTGTCTGGCACCAAAGAGTTTAGTCCTTATGTTTCCTCTCACCAGTGACCACTTTCATATATTAAAACAAGAAACTGGGGGCTGGCAAGATGGCATATTCAGCTAAATGTATTTGCTGCCAAGCACAACCCAAGTGTGATCCTTGGGACATATATGGTAGAAGAGAACTGAGTCACACACGTCTGTCCTCTGACAACATGTGTGCCATGGTGTGTAAAGCGCGAGTGTGTACGCACACTAAAATGCAATTTTAGAAAACAACCAAAAGACAGAAAACCAGAAGAGGAGAGAATGTTACCACTTATTTGACAATATAAGGAGTCTTTAATCCCAGAACTCAGGAAGCAGAGCCAAGCAGATCTCTGCGAGTTTGAGGCCAGCCTGAGCTACACAGTGAGCTCCAGACAAGCTAGGAATACGTAGAGAGACCCGGTGTCAAAGAAAAATAGGAAAGACAGAAAAGAAACCATAAGGACGTTACACACCTGTCCCCGCTGCAGACTCACCGTGCTGTGAGGAGGAGGAGGACCTCTCCAGCATGGACTTGTAGAGGTTGCGGAAGGACCAGCTGAGGTCCTGAAAGTTGATCTCTGAGTAGGAGAATTTGAAGTCATGGTTGGTGTTGTAGAGCGGAGGGGCGCCCTCTGTGCTTTCGCGGCCTGGAGCCCCTGCTGCCACTGCTCCACCATCCACAGACCCCGGGGCCTACAGAAACAGGTAAGGACGGTGACCCAAGTCCCTTCTGAAGCAGTACAACCCTCCAAAGGCCACCGGGCTCTCAGGCCGGTCCCTGTCACCTTCTGCAGCTGACCTGTTTATCACCTGCTTTTCCTGCTCTGGTGGGCTCATGTCTTCAATCCGACCTCTTTACTGTCACTACCCATTTCTTCTCTATGACCCTTCCCCAGGGTCCCTTGCCTTTCTGTCCTGGCTGCAGCTTTCCTGGCTCCTGTTCTTTTCACCACTTATTTTCCTGATTTGCTCAGAATTCTGACATTCTTCATCTGCCCCCATCTGGTTCCCTCCCCCTCCTTCTTTCTCAATCGCCTTGCCTAGCATATCATGAGTCCTTAGCATGTAGCTGTGAACAGGGCAGTATCCGAACTGCCCTGTGACCGTGACCCGATTCCTACCTGGCTGTAGCTGGCCATGGAAGAGGGGCTCTGCAGTGACATCTGAGGAGTCCCCTCATGAGGCAGTGAGGTTTCTCCACTCCCTGGAACACCTCCCCGAGGGCTTTTGCTGGCCTCCTGTTCTGGGGAGTCTTGGGGCAGCTGAGAATTATAAAAAAAGAGAAATCTATATGCAGGGGTGAAACACCCACCCGCGGTCCACGCCTTTGTCTCCCCTTTGCTATTAACCCACACCTACCACAGAAATGACTAACATCCAAGAAAGGGATGTCCCAAAGAGGAAAGCACTTACATCATCATCCGGAGGGTGCCTTCTCTTCCGGGAAATGTCAGGGCAGGTGTCAATTGTCCAATAAGAGCCCTGGAAGGAGAACCCAAGCCCACTGAGAAGAAACAAATTACCTACAGAAGTTCCTGTGGAAACAGGTGCTCAGGAAGCTTCTCATACTCATGCTGGAGATGGGGTGGGGCTGGGAAATGTAACTCAGCGCCAGAATGCTTGCCTAGCATGGACAACGCCTCATATTGGATTCCCCAGCACAGAAGAGAAGAAGGAAGAAGGAAGTGAGATCAAGCAAAGGGGGGGGGGGGTCAAGGGAAGGAGAAGAGAGAAAAGCACAGCGGTGAACATCCAGACAGAAGCCGAGGGAGCGGAGGACCGGTGAGGAACGAATCTGTCCTCAAAGTCACTGAGCAGAGCAAACACTAGCTTCAAGTGTTCCAACGGGGCAGAAGAACAATGGTAGTTATGTCAGAGAACTGGAAATGGCCAGAAAAAATAACCTTTTCCCCTTATGAGTTGAGGCAAAAGTCCAGTGGGCTTTAGCATCTGTCAAATGGGGAGAATGCCTCCCTCCTCATTTCTCCCTTTGGAAGGTAAAACCTGAAGACTTTGCATAGAAAAGACTTTGCTTCCAAAAAGATAGTAATTAAACTGGGTATGTTGGCACACACCTGTAATCCCAGCACTCAGGAGGGACTGAGGCAGGAGGATGGTAAATTCAAGGCCAGCCTGGGGCTAAACAGTGAGATCTTGTTTCAAAAACAAAACAAAACAAAAAAACAAGCCAACATTTTACATGTAGGAACAAGTGCCACTCAAAAGAGTAGCAGCCTGGGCTACAGAGTGAGATTATCTCAGAAAAATAAAACAGGCTGGGTATAGCAGCGCATGCCTTTGTTACTTATTTGGTTTTTGTTAAGATGGAATTTCTCTATAGGGCCTTCCCTATCCTGGAACTCTCTACGTAGACCAGACTGGCCTTGTACTCACAGACATCCACCTGTCTCTGCCTCCTGAGTGCTGGGATTAATGGTGTGCATCACAATACCCACCTTCGTATGTGCCTTTAAGCCCCCCACTCAAATCTCCGAGTTGGGGGCTAGCCAGGTTTACATATTAAGTCCTAGGCCTACACAGTAAGACTCTATCTCAAAACATAAGAAGGAAGGAGTGAGTGGGGGAGGGGAGACAGGAAGGAAGAGGTGAGGAGGGAGGAAGAAAGAAAGGAAAGAAGGAAGGAAAGGAGAACCTCAAAATCAACTCTATCATAAACATCCCTATTAAAAACAAAAAGATTCCATCATCTTCCTTAGTCACCCATTCTAGTGAGGAACCAGAAGCTTGGCAACTGTGTTCTTCCTTTGAGGAAAAACAACGATGCTTTTAAAACTAACATGGCTTCCTCTTCTAGGTAATTAGAGCAGCCACAGGACTGAGTGTCAACTACTTCGCTCTCCTTCCGTCTCCCCCGGTTCCCCAGCATCTCACCTTCCCAGGGTCGTCCCGCGGTCTGGGCACCTTCCGGAAGCACTTGTTAAGAGAAAGGTTGTGTCGAATGGAATTCTGGGGAAGCAAAGAAGCAAGTTAAGTCTGAGCCTTGTCCAAAGGGACACAGAAGAACATACAGCAGAGTCCCAGTGAGTCCTCTTCACTGTACTGCTGGAAGGCCCAGAAGCCACACGGAAAGCAGAGGGGTGAGAAGAGAGAATCACCGAATTAACTGGGGAGAGGCAATGGCAACCAGGTGGTCCTGAACACTAATTTTATAGTTTTTCAGCCTTCCTACCAAACTGACAACAGGTTATATGCCTCAAATCAGGAAGATCGCTGAGGTCATGCGTAGCCTGGTGACAGCGAGTTCCAGGGCAGCCAAGAGTTATATAAGACGCTGTATCAAAAAACAAAGAACAAAACAACAACAAAAATAGCCAGACATGGTGCTCCACATCTGTAAGTTCAGCACTTAGGAGACATAAGCAGTAGAGTGGCTACAAGCTGGAAGCCAGTCCACTCTACAGTCACATGAGTTCTAGGGCAACCAGAACTGTGTGAAAAGACCATCTCTCAAAAAAGCAGCATGCTCTTAATATACCAAAAGAGTTGCAAGCTCTTAATAAACCCAGCTCTCAGGAGGAAGAGACCAGGGAATCTCTGTGAGTTTGAAACCACTCTGATTTACACAGAGTTCCAGGATAGCCAGAGCTACATGGTGAGACCATGGGAGGAGGGGTGCTGCCAAGTCAATGAGATGGGGTACGGGGACAGGCTCAGCTCTACCAAGTTATCCTCTGACCTCCACAAGCACAGCACGGCATATGCATGTGAGCACGGGCACACACACCCTATGCACGCATACACATAATAATAACAATAACAATAATAATAATAATAATAAATTTTAAGTAGGGATTGTGGAAATAGTTCAGTGGATAAAGAGTGTGGCACCCAAGAAAGAGACCTAAGTTACCTAAATTCAAATCTCTGGAATCCACATTAACTAGGTGTAACCAAACACAGCTGTAATCCCACAGGTTTTAGGATTAGATGTGAAGTGGAGAAGTAAGAATCCTTGGAAGAAGCAGGGGTTGGTGGTACACACCTTTAATCCCAGCACTTGGGAAGGCAGAGGCAGGTTCAAGGCCAGCCTGGGCTACAGAATGAGTTCCAGGACAGCTAGGGCTACACAGAGAAAGCCAGTCTTGAGGAAGGAAAAAAAAAAGAAAGAAAGAAACAACAACAACAACAAAAAACCCTGGAAGATCACACTACACAGTATGCATGTACTCACCCGTACACACATCATGAACACACCCACACCAATAAACACCTCAAATTCATATCTACCTCTACCTCTCTTCTCAATTCCCCACGAAAAGCAAAAGAAAGTATTTTCATACTGTTTACATATATTATAACAAGAAAAATAATCCAATGGGGAGATGGCTCAGCAAGTAAAGCTCCCCAAGTACAAGGTCGAATTTAAATACCTGGAACCCACGTAAAGTCAGGAGCAGTAGGGTGTTCCATAATACCAGGGCTACATACTGGGAGCACTATGTTGTCCTATAGCAAATGGGAGGCAGAGACAGTGCCCACAAGTTCACAGGCCACTCAGCCTGCTACACACGTGTTAACAACAAAGAGACATTGTCTCAAACGAGATAGAGGGCAAGGACCAACACCCACGGCTGTCTTCTGAGCTCCACGTATGCTGTGGCGCCCTTGTACCCTCACTAACATACAAAAACACACATCAAGTGCACGCATGCATGCACGCACGCACACACACACAGAGACAAGGACTTTAAAAAAAACAACTCAAGAGTGAAACCAAAGCACAGACCAGCTCCGTTTTCTCAACAACACTCAGAATGACCATATCTGGAGAAAAGGAAAAGCCGTGGTATGTATGTGTTGGTATGTCGAGAGATGTAGCCTAGAGGAACACATGTAGCAAGGGAAGATTGAATGCTTCTAACAGCCTCAGCTCATCATCCGGTTTGTAAGTCAACGGTGATTTATAGAGTGAGAAATGAGAAAACAACATTTAATTCCCACTCCTCCTCAACAACTGGCAAATGAATTGCTGCTCCAAATGACTACAAGAAAGCCTGGCTTGGCACTGCAGGCCTGTCATCCCAATACTGGGCGGTCAAGACAAGAGAATCAGTAGTTCAAGGTCGGCTTCATTTGTGAGTTCCAGGGCAGACCACGTCAGCCCGAGCCATATGAGACATTGTCCCAAAATAAATAGATCTTTGGGGTATTTATTGTTTGGGTTCTTCTACTTCTTCCTCCTCCTCCTCCATCTTTTTCTTCTTTTTTGTTTGGGGGAGGGTCCCACTATGTAGGCCTGGCTGGACTGGAACTTGCTCTGTAGACCAGGTTGGTCTTGAACTCAGAGATCCACCTATGTATACTTCCAAAGTGCTGGGATTAAAAGTGTGTGTGACTAAACCTGGCTAAAAAAATATGTAGTTTAAAGACGGGCGGTGGTGGCGCACGCCTTCAATCCCAGCACTCGGGAGGCAGAGGCAGGCGGATCTCTGTGAGTTTGAGGCCAGCCTGGTCTACAAGAGCTAGTTCCAGGACAGGCACCAAAAACTACAGAGAAACCCTGTCTCAAAAATCAAAAAAAAAAAAAAAATATGTAGTTTAATATCAACCTTCTTTCTTCTTGTCAAGGAGGGTCTCAGTGTCTCTCTCTAACATTGTTGCTTTGGTTAGTGAACCAGCTATTGGTAAAGGACTCTCTTTCTTAATACACATATAATGTTTCAAAAGACGATGACAACGAAGCTATAGAAATTTGATGAGTTTCCTACAAAAGCAGGAGTCATGCCATGCATTGCTCAATGACTCGAACATTGCAGAGTGACAAGAAAGACAAGAAATCAAAGACTGCCCTTTTGGGGGAACCAACAGCATCCTGCTATCCCAGAACTATACTTAATTACTTGGCCTCATTAGTGTTTCCATGATAAAGCTGCTGAGGTTGATTAATACTCAAGTAGGGGTAGAAGATAAGATACCTTGAGTTTATATATCCCTGAGACAAGTCGGAATGAACCAGACCAAGTTATAGGAAGAAATAAAAGTAGGGAAAAAACTGCTAACGGCAAAGTACAAGCCCAGGTTGTAGAAAAAAATCCCACCTTCCAACCAATGCCAGCGTTCTTGTAATAGGGGAAGTTATCGCAGATCCAGCGGTAAATCTCACTGAGGGTCATCTTCTTGGCTGGAGATGAGTTGATGGCATAGGTGATGAGGGTGGCGTAGCTGTAGCGTGGCTTGCCATCCTGATGGACTGCTGCTTCATCTTTGCTGAGGGTGGCGTTAGGATCCGTGGGGGAGCCTGGGGAACACTTTCGGCTGCCCCCTGGAGGCACAGCCTGAGAAGCGCTCCCCAGCTTCTCAATACTAGCTCGGAGAGTCAGCTGGGGCAGCCAGTCTATGGAGGTGAGGCTGCTCTCTAGGTCGGAGGCCATTGTGCTTCTGGGTTCTGCAGAGAAGAGGACAAAGAGGGGAGGAAGGCAGATTAATTTCTTATTTATTGGAGCCAGAACAACCCCACGTCTAAAGCAGAAGGCAAGCAGTTTCTTCCCATTTTAATTCCTACTGGAGAACGCTTTCCTAAGACAACCCATGATCCCAAGTGCAAGTACCACAAGTCTTCCACCAGATGACGAAATGCTTCATACCCCCATCTTAATGAAGAGTGTCACTACCTCGCCTGCTGTTGACAGAATTTCTGCCCCTCCCAGTTCCACAGCCGTTCAGTCCCAAAGAAACACACAGAGGCCTACATTAATTATAAACTGGTTGGCCTAGTAGCTCAGGCTTATTAACTCTTACATCTTAACCCATAATTCTTGTCTGTGTTAGTCACATGGCTTGGGACTTTTTATCAGTAAGGCATTCTCATCTTGCTTCCTCTGTGTCTGTGTGACAACTGCAGACTGAGCCTTTCCTTTTCCCAGAATTCTCCTGTTCTGGTCGCGCCACCTATACTTCCTGCCTGGCTGCTGGCCAATCAATGTTTTATTAAAACAATACAAGTGACAAATCTTTACAGGGTATAAGACTGTGGGACAATGGTCTTGCACCCTGTAAAAGTTTGTCACTTGTACTGGTTTAATAAAATGCTGATTGGCCACAAGAATTATGGTTTAAGATGTAAGAGTTAGTTAATAAGAAGCCTGAACTAATAGGCCAACCAGTTTATAATTAATGTAGGCCTCTGTGTGTCTCTTTGGGACTGAACGACTGTAGGACTGGAAAGGACAAAAAAGTTCGTCAACAAATGGCACCAACATGGACAACTAAATCCACTTAAAACCTAAGACAGCTTGGGAAGTAATTCTAGACACAAAAGAACAGTGTTAAGCACTGCTTCTTGGTAGTAGCATTTTCTCGGGTGGACTCTGTTTGCTAGAGGCAAGCACCCATCATTTAAGACAGGCTTCCTGACTCAGTTATAGTTGCAAAAACCTTGCAGGTCTTTTAAGAGGCCCCGCCACAAAACAATTAAATGGTGTTTGAGTAGCCGACAGCACGCTTCTTGGTGGTGGCAGGGACCGTGATACTCCACAGAGTTGTGGCAATAAACATGGCTCCTGCTAGCACCTCCACCATGAAGCTAGACTCTCAGAAAGCTAAGGAATGGAGTGGATCCAGCCACCACAGCCACAGCCTTAATCCTAGCCGTGTCTCTTAGCAAATTGGACTCATGTGGTCAGAAAAAGAGAGATATACAGTAAAGACAGATTCAGACAAAAAAAAAAACCACAACAAACTCTAAACAATTTACACTGTGTTTAAAAATATATGTAGGCTTGTGAGAGGAAAAGAAAAGGAAGAGAGTAGTCGGGTGTGGTGGGACACACCTTTAATCCCAGCCTAGAGGTAGTCGGATCTCTGTGAGTTCAAGGACAGCCTGGTCTACAGAGCAAGTTCTAGGACAGCCAAAGATACAGAGAAGCCCTGTAAATTTAATTTATTTATTCAAAAATAAATAAATAAATAAACAAATAAAAATAAAAGAAATGGGAGTTTAACATAAAGTCACGTAAAGATGGAAAATACACAGAGTCTGGACACTGTATGTTACCGTGTTGTCTGTGAATTGTTTGATGGCTGAGGAAGGAGCAACAGCTGCTAAAAGACATTTGATTATAAGTACTGCTGGATTAATTCAACCTAGGTTTTTTGAAAATGTCTTGACTTCAAAATTTAAGTCAAAAGATACTGACTTTGAAGAAGAGGTTTTGCTTTTGTTTCCACAGGAAATGAGAGGTTGTGGATTTATTCCAGATTAAGAAAAATCAGATTTGATTAAGGAAGATCCCCCCCCTCAAAAATCTCCAATTGAAGTGGATGACCCAGATGATTCAACATTTCAGAAGACCTCTGTTCGAGTTTCCTCTGAGTTCTACATCCAGAACAGCCTCAAGACCCATTTGTGCAGGACCAGATAGCATACACCACAAAAGCTGAAATATTCCAATTCTCATTAGTGCCCCACAACACAGTATTTTTAAACTCTATATAATATGTTTAATAAAATCAACCCCACTTAAGCAGCAGGTAAAATTAGCTGAAGTCCATTCTCCAATTACATGACACTTGTATGTTTATATATAGCATCTACAAGTACATAGCAATAGCACATATAAAGACAGTCCGAGCAAACACAAGTATACACCAATGAAGCACACATCAACACTCTTAAAAGAGTTCCAGTCTAAACGAGAGCACGCAATCTTTTGCTACACACATCTAACATAAGGCACGCTAGGCATTTCCCAAGGACAGGTTCTACCTGAGCTGAGTCTGGAAGCACAGAGCTGTATCCTCAACTGCTCCAGAGACTGAGGCAACAGAATCACACATTCAAGGCCTGCCTGGGCTACACAGTGAATTCATTGGCAGCCTAGGCAATGAGACCCTGTCTCAAAATAAGAAGGCAAAGAGAGGGGCAAGAGACTGTTCAGCAGTTTAGAGCACTTGTTGCTCTTGCAGAGGGTTTAGGTTCCATTCCCAAGGCTCACAACCATCTATACACTTCAATTCTGGGGAATCCAACACCCTCTTCTGGCCTCCTAGAGTATGAGGCACACGTGCACGCACACACAATACACATACATACATCCATGTAGGCAAAACACTCATTCATAAAAAATATAATAACTTTAAAAAACAAAAGGGTGGGCTAAAGGTGTAGCTCAGTGTAGAATACCTACTTGAGGTTCTGGGTTCAGTCTCCAGCACCACAGGAAATAAATAACCAAATGATGACAACCAGCAACAGCAGGATACAAGACTGACCCAGAGACAGTGGCGCACACACCGAGATCACAGCATACACACGGCATACGTTACCAAACAAAGTCACACAGAGGAAACAGATTCTGAGTCCACGGCTACCCTCACACCTTTAACGCTCCCCCTGGCAGGATCCCGCCCACAGACACCACCAGGAAGAAGTCATCAGCCGGGACCTCCCACCTCCCAGGCCTGCTGGGCTTTACGGAGGCAGGGAGCCACCCAGCTGTGTGCACACCGGTAACAATCAGATAGCCTGGCTAAAAATAGCCTCCGTGGGGCTAAGAGCTGGCTCCCCTTCCCCGCCCTTCTCCCTCCTTCCTTCCCAGCCAGGCACGCAGACTGGCTGCACCTCCATGCAAACTCCTAGAGCTAGAGCTTCCGCCCACGCCTGCTGTTTGCCGCCGGCCTAGCCGCCAACCAAACCGCCTAGGCTCTCACCACCAGGGAGGTGTAGCTAGCTAGTGACATGCTGGTGGAGGAAGGTGAGGAACGGGGTACAGTAGCCGTGTTGCCCGGTCTAGAAAGGCTGACAGGAACCTCTGCGTAGCCATTTGGCTCTTCCTTGGAACTGAAGCCAGCGAGCCTCTAAGCACTTGCTGTCTAACAGGTCTGTGCCTGCGCCGCTGCCGGATTCCAGCTAGCATTTCTTGCTCAGTGGCAGCAGGACGGTGCTCTGCACCAGCCAAGGCTACCCCTCAGAACTTAGGACGCTGGTGAGAACCCTGTTCTTCGGGTGATGTCTCTGGCAATCCAAAGCCAAAAGATGCACAACCAGACCAGACACAGGTAAGCACGTACAGATTCACACACCTGGCATGCCCAAACTCTGTCTCACACAGGACCCCTTAGCCTCTCTCTTAACCCCAACACACCACATACCTTTCAGGCTCTCACATTTTCATCCTCAACTGTAGTGTTGCCAGACATTTGCCCTTTCCCCTACAGGTCAGAATTCTGATTCACTCCCCTCCTGACCAGGTCCCACCCTGGAAATCAACCTGTGCTCACATGCACCTGGCCCGGTGCTCCCAACCAGCAACACACCTAGTCCACAAAGTTGAAGAGGAACTTCTTCGGTACCCCAGGCAGCAAGAGACCTAACTGTACCCCAAGAGTTGTTTGAGTAGAGAAAAACAATGCAGCCGTGTTTATAACTTGTACCAAGAAAGCCTGCCCATTCGGCCTTCAGACACTCACCAGCACCAACCGTTTATCCTGAACAGTATCACCTTGCCCCAAACCTTGGAAGCTTAGGAAACAACAGGGACACATCACCACTCCAGGGAGTCACACACCTTCTAGCCTGTTACTGGGTTAAACATCCCAGCCTCTGGACTACAGCAGGGAGCTTGAGCACTGTGCTCCACAGCTGGGTTCTCTAAGATCAACAGTGACTTGCCAATTAGTAAATTCTCAAGTTCATCCCTAGAAAGGTATTACCCTATCCCCTAGTCAGTCGGCCACTGCCCTCCTCAACCTGGGGTGTGTGTGTGTGTGTGTGTGTGTATCTGTGTGGGTGCGCACACGTGCATATGTGTATTGAATCTGTTGTCCACGCTGGTCTCAAACTTCTGGACTCAAGCAATCCTCCTGCATCAGCTTCCCTGGGTCTACAGGGCATCAGTTCCTTGCCTCTATTATCTCCTGCTAAATAACCCCGGGGAAGTCTCATCTTCAGAGCCAGCAAATTTCAGTTATTTCCTCTGAACTGCTCTCAAGAGCAACCTGGAGCATGAAGGTGGATTCAAAGTGTGTAGAGGCCTTACAGAACCCCTTTGACGCATGCGAACCACCAGGAATTCCTGGAAGGGAAACACTCCCCGCTCTTTCTAGTTATCCTGCACCCTTTCCTCCCTTGCCTCACACAGGGGAACCCTGAGGTCAGACACCTTTCTCCACTCCCCTCCCAGGCAGCCCTCCCTCCAAATGCAAACCTCAGTGCTCAGGATCCATTCCAGCATGAACTCGACAAACTCACAGGGCCTGGTCCTCCCTGTCTCCCAGCACTGGGCTGTGTAGCCGGGCCCACTTCCTTACCCCCTCACTTCCCCATTCGTAAAGAGCAATGGAGATTGACTGAGCTTCCTCCATCCCATTCCCAACCCCAACACTGACTCACTAATTGCCCCTAGCCATCCCTCGCTCCCTGATGAAGTCTTCATGCCTCAGTTTCCCCCTCCAGTAAAAGAAATGAAGTCATAGCCCCTATAAGCTTCATCCCTGGAGGGACAGGAATGAAGCTAAGGAGCTCGTAGCTGCCACACATTCCACACTCCCCAAAATAATGGCACCAGGCTAATGTCCAGGGCTATTATTAGAACAGCAAACAAGAGGTGGTTCCTTTTCTCAGGCCGGCCAACCTAGTTACCCAGACCTCTCTCCAGGTGGGCTTCGTGCCACTGGGCTTAGGCAGAACCTGAGTTGGGCCACATTCTTCTCGGCATGCTGGAAGACTGGAAGGAAATACACAGAGAATCTGGGAAAGGCAGCCAAAGGGCAGGCTCCATCACATCCACGGGACAGCTAATGAAGACCTCAGTGCTGGGGAAAAGCAGAAAACAAAACAAAGGCAAACAGAACGTCTTCTCGGGAAGGCACGGCCGAAGGGACGGGACCTGTTTGCTGCCCATCTTACCCAGACAGCTAGTAACTGTCCTCCCCGTGGAACCCAAGCTGGGCATCCCAGAGGGATGACTTCCTGGGCTGTACCTAGTGCCAAAACTAACAGGGCAGTGGCGGCGTGTATCTTGTGATCAGCCACGCTGCCTGCCTTTCCAGCCCAGCTCCTATAGACGAGTTATTTAACGTCTCTGTATCTTAATTTCTATCTCGATAAAATAAACATTCTAAGAAGTTAGATACAGTGACTCAAGCTTGTACTCCTAGCACTCTGGGAGGTTGAAGCAGGAGGATTGCCGTGAGTTTAAATCATCCTGAGCTGCATAAACTCAAGGCCAGCCACTGCTATATAGTGAGACACTGTCACACACTCACCCACCCACACACACACCTAAAAAGTTTTTGAAAAAATTCTTTTTTTTTGTTTGTTTCTCAAAACAGGGTTTCTCTGGGTAGCCCCAGCTACACTGGTTGGCTACACAGATGCCCTGGAACTCCCTCTGCAGACCAGGCTGTCCTCAAACTCAGAGACCAGCCTGCCTTTGCCTCCAGTGCTGGGATTACAGGTGTGCGCCACCACTGAGCAGCTCAAATTTCTTTTAAATAAAGGTTAACTACTCCTACAAGCGTTGTTGTAGAGATTATATACTATTTCTTAATATGCCTAAAGAACCTTTACTTTTGAATGAAAAAAGAAAAGAATATTGGGGGGCGGCTGGAGAGATGGCGCAGTGGGAAGAGCTCTGGCTCTCCCAGAGGTCCTGAGGTTAATTCCCAGCAACCACGTGGTGGCTCACAGCCGTCTGTGGTAAGATCTGGAGCCTTCTTCTGGCCTGCAGACATACGGGCAGGCAGAACGCTGTATACATAATAAGTCTTTTTCAAAAAAATATTAGTAGGTTGTATGTATGGCTTGGTGTGTTTAACACGCACGTGCAGCCCAAAGTTCAGTACCAAGCACCGAAGTCTTTTAATGGAAAGAGAACACTATGGGCTGAAAAGATGGCTCAGCAGTTAAGAACAGTGGGTGCTTTTCCAGAAGGCCTGAGTTCAATTCACAGCACCCACACGGTGGCTCACAATCTATCTAATAACTGTAGTCCCATGGGATGATTCCCTCCTCTGGTGTGCATACATGCAGAGAAAATACTTATATACATAAAATATGTAAGTCTTTTTTGAAAAAGGAAAGAGAATGTCGAAATTATAACAGATTGTAGAGGCAGCATCAGAAAGATCAAAGGTGCAGTGGTCGTGTTGCACGGCTGCAGCAAAGCTGCAGGCTGTCGGGACGTCTGAATTTTCAGCGCTTCCTTCAAGTTCCTATCAACCCAGTCCTGATTAATGTAAGATCGGGGAACCTCCAAGGATGGAGGGATGGGGAAATATCGTCACCTGTCTTTCAAGGGGGATTTAGGTGCAGGCCTAAGATACAGTCTGGAAAACAGAACAGTCCACATCACAGTTAATCCGACCAGCCCCACACTGAGTCCTGTCCCAGCAGAGCCAGTTGAATGAGGGGTCCGCCTGGAGCAGCTATAGAACAGTTGGCGCCGAGCCGGTCACACTGAGCCCTTCAGAAGCTGCACTCCAGCATCTGGTGAGGTGCTGTGTAACAGACCTCCGCTACACCAGACATCTGCTTTTCAAAAGGGGGAGAGGCAGTGCTAGACGTGGAAGTTAAGGACCCTCATCCCTTTTTTAAGACTGGAGGTACCCATGATGAGGCTCTCCTGCCAGTCCCGGAAGCAACAGGCCCAAACTGAGAAGGGCTGTCCTGCTGCCAGGGATGGCTGCGTGGGGGCCGTGAGAATTCTCACTGGTGAGGGGGCGGGACGGCTAAGCTTTTCTCCCAACTGGTTATCCCCACCCTCACCTTTTCTAGGTCCTTGCAGAGGATCACCTGCCACAAACGATGCTAAGGGATCTGAGAGCAGTCTGAACACAACAATGTCCCCTTCTCCACGTACACTCCAAACACAGACACCGAGCTACATTCATTTCCACTGAGAAGCATGCACATCACTGTACAGCACGGCCAGCGAACCTGTGAACTCCGGGCCTGAATCATACACCGCCACGACAGAAACCTCCAGGGTCAAGTGACGGGACAGAGACTTAGGCTATCTGCTCACGGCCCATCTAGGAAGGCAGATACTGAAAACCCAAGAGGGGGAAGCCCCATAGAGAAGATGAGGCACAGTCTAACGACCAGACGGGAGAGCAGGCCCGCAGGTCATGACCTCGGGTAAAAACTCAGCGCCGCTCCAGACACAGTCCAGGCTCGACCAGAAAAAATTTCTTGGTGTCTTTTGTCCTGCTTTTTCTAAAGCTTCTGGATTTTGATGACTCCCTGAGGTAGGATGAAAATTTTCACCACGGGACCCAGAACGAAACAAGAGAACAGGAAGAGATGATGAGACCAGTAGATGTTTTCCTGGGAGGAAACTCTTAAAAAAAAACTCAGCAGAAGGTCAGACCTCCCTGGTGGTCAACGCACGCAGACAAGGTGTGTGGGGGTGGGGGGTGGGGTGAGACCAGTAGATGTTTTCCTGGGAGGAAGCGCTTTAAAAACTCCATGAAGGTCAGACCTCCCTGGTGGTCAACTCCTGCAGACAAGGTGTGTGGGGGTGGGGGGCGCTAAGAAACACTCCCTGCCTCCTAGCCACAATCTGATTTTTCCAGAACTGCCAGCGAATATAGAGGACTTGAGGCAGAACCAGTACCTGGGGAAGACTTCAGCCCACCAGTGTGCACTACCCTAGACAGTTTTTTTTTTTCCCCTCACCTCTGGACATGTGAATTCACCCTTCCCTAAGGAGGGCAGGCATCCAACCTGAAGCAGGGATGTCAGAAGGGCCTCCTGGTATCCAAGATAGGGAGAGTGGGTGCGACAGATTGACAGTCAGGCAAACAGTCATTGTCACAGACTGGAAGGAAGACCTCTGTTGGCCATTAAGCTGACTTAGGCATGCCCCAGACAAGACACGAGGTGCCCCATGACTTTACGGGCAGGTCCACTCAGCAAAAGACAAGACCCAAAGAGGAGAGTGCTGTGGGAGTCTGGCTGTGCTGTGTCCTGCATTCCTAACAGTAACCATGGCGTCCCGAAAACGCACCTGTTGTCTGTCCTCTGTGCAGAGAGAGCATCCACTTCTCTAGGGACCGCAAATGGCCCGTCCCTTTTGTCTCCGAAACCTACCTTAAAAGCCCTTTTCTCAAGAGTCTCTGTAACAACATGTGGCTTCCGGTGCAGAAGGTCCATCAGAAGACATCCCCCAAGGGACTCTACCTTCCACAGGCATGAACCCCGAGATCCACCATTTCAGCCCCCCATACTACTGGTGCGTAACGACCACAGAGAGAAGATGCAAGAGAGCACTAACCTGCCTCCAAGGTTCCCCCAGCCACCGGAGGAAACCACCTGGTACAGAAGTCTGTGGTTGCAGGGATTCCCCTCTTCACAGGCAGGTGACGGGGCTCATCCTCAGTGACTCTTCCAGCGCCTGGCGGAGCCTCCCAAGCTGGAGCCGGGAACTCTGTCCCCCGAGGAAGAGGAGTCGAAGGAGGAGGGGTGGGAGAGGGAGGACCTACCTGGGGAAGGTGGCACACCCCCCACACCCTGCCTGCTACCCTAGGGAGGAGGGGAGGAGCCTCTCCCAACCAGGAGTTGTCTCCTCCCCCTTGGGGGAATCCCCCTCTCCCCCAAACTGGCTCTTTCAGGGGCTGAGGGCTCTTTCTGTCTGTTGGAGATCTGAGCGGTGGGGCTCTGCCCGGGTCCACTGTCTAGGTGCACGGAAGTTGAGGGGCGAGGTCTTCCACTCTCCAGCAAACTGGAACCGATTGCTGCCGGTTCCCCGGAGAGTCCTGGCTTGTGCGTGTCAGGACGCCTCTCCGCGGTGAGTACTGGGTGGGATGCGGGGTGCCTACTCCACAGGCATGGCTCCCTTTCTCTCTGCCTCCAAAGTCCCGAACTGTCTGGAGTGCGGTGAGGAGTGGGGACGGTCTCACTCCGGGTCCTTCAAGTCCCACTACCCTTCCCGACTTCTGGGGGTCTCCTCCAGAGCCAGCGTGGGAGGGACAGCGCGTGCCCTGCGGCGATCTCTTCTGGCGGTCCCGGCAGTGGGGAGGGTCTTCCCTCCCACGGGAGAGGGAGCAGGTCCGGGTGCCGGTTGTCTCGAGGGTGGGGTCCACGCACTCCCGCTCCCGCCCGGCCGGCCTGGGCAGCAGGGTCCCGGAGGCCGCGGTCCCGGCTCCCGTCACCCGCTCTAGGGCGGCAGCG